CATATGGAATGGATTAACTAAAACAGTTAAATCCTACATGGATGCATATCCTGTCAACTAAAACAGTTGAACGACATAACGGATGTTTGTTTTATCTTTCTGCATTAGGAAGGAATTTATATATATATTTATGGTACCGTGATATGAGCTTGAGTCTCTTGACCACGGTTAGGGTGCATATATTGTAAAGGTTGGGTAGCTAGATATAACTAATGTTCCCTGGTAGGTCTAGGCACTTGGCTGCTGAAAAGCGTGTTTTATATGTCACCTTCTACCCAGGCTGAACTATGTTATAGGCTAGTGAGCATCCTATAGTGTGTATATATATATGGACTATTGTAGATATTGCCGAGCTATCAAGGATGTATCTACGTATCGGGTTTATGTACGGATTGTAGTAGATTGGAATTTGCATGTGGGCCTGACCCACTTCTATTTTTCAGGTATTCGCCAGTACCAGGCTTAGAGTTTGATCGTGTTGATGCAGATACAGTCACTCACTCTTCCGGTTACATAGGATTTCCTTTCTATTTTGGTTTTGGATTTTAATTTTGTAAATTTATTTAAAGTTTTGGAATTAGGGGTCCACTAGGTGGATTCCCGAGTTGTACGGATTTAAATTATATTAATTTATTATTTAAGGTTCGAGGATTTTCATTTTAGTTTCTTTCAGCGCATTATTATTTTATTCTTAATTTAGTTTTATTCTTGCTTGGTTACATATTAATTGTCTGATATCCCTCGGATCTGTGCTCGGACTTGATCACCTGTGGCTCTAGAATCGAGGGGTATCACACAGAGAACATAAAATCACTCATTTGTCTTATGCAGATGACCTGTTACTATTTTTCCATGGAGATATTACATCAGTCTTAGTCCTCAAATCAGCTCTTGATCTTTTCTGCTCTATGTCAGGCCTAGACATCAACCTATCAAAGAGTGAGGTTTATTTTCTGGTGTAAATGACCACACACAACATCAAATTTCTACATTGCTAGGTATTCAATCAGGCACACTACCAGTGAGATACCTTGGAGTGCCATTGATCTCTACAAATTTGAAGTCTCAGCATTACAGTTTATTGGTATGCGGAATCACTCACAGAATCACTAACTGGACTTCCAGATCTCTCTCATATGCAGGTAGACTCCAATTGATAAATTCAGTATTGGTGTCAACTCAAAACTACTGGTGCAACATCTTCATTCTGCCTAAGGGAGTAATTGATGAACTCAACAAGATTTTTAGGAGATTTCTGTGGTCAGGGCCAGAAATGAAGTCTTTAGGTTCAAAGGTAGCTTGGAGTATGGTGTGTAATCCTAAATCTACAGGTGGTTTGGGGATCCCCAATTTGGAGATTGCAAACAAGGCTGGAATAATCAGATTCATTTGGGACATTCTCAAAGAAGATACAAATAGATTGTGGGTAAGGTGGTGCCACTCTTATTTACTGAAGTCCAGAAACCTATGGTCATTGAACTACCCTCAGCCATGCTCTTGGAGTTGGAGGAAAATCCTCCAACTAAGGCACCATGCTAGACAACTCATAAAGTACTCTATAGGCAATGGTGTTAACACTTCCTTCTGGTGGGACAATTGGGCTCCAGGGGGTCCTTTAAGTTCAAGATTTCCACTTCATCTACTCACTGCAGCTGGTTTCAATGGTACAACAACTATAGATACATTCATTGTCGACAACAACTGGTCATTCCCCCCCTCTCTTATTAGTGCAATCCCTGAATTGCTCGCCCTACCACCTTCATGCCCTTTTAGAAGTGACAGTAAGAAGTAGACAGTCTCACCTAATGGCAATTACTCATTCAGACACACTGTGGCACACATGGTAGGTGACCTTCCTATTGTCCCATGGCACAACCTTGTTTGGCATTCTCCAACCATACCAAGAATGAAATTCAATCTTTGGCTGGCTGCTCAATGCAAACTATCAACACTTGACAGTAAATCTATGGCTAAACACCATAACATTTGCTCCCTCTGCAACATATCAAGTGAGTCTCATGATCATCTATTTTTTAATTGCAACTTCACCTCCTCTCTATGGCGTTTTATCAAATACAAGAGTAACGTTCACACAACAATTACAAATTGGGAGAATCTTATAATGTGGATCAGCACTAAATGGAAAGCAAATACCCCAACTAACCTGCATAAGAAATTATGCATATCGGCTTTGGTATACCATACCTGGGAAGAGAGAAATGCTCGAATTTTCAAAGGACACAAATCATCCCAGAGAGTCGTTTGTGCGAAATTTTGCTCCACAATAGCAGGTATTCTGAAGTTAGGTTGTCTGAGAGAATGCGCTTCGGCGAAATTGATTCTCATGGATTAGAATTTATCTCCTTCATGCTGTAGGCCTCCTCCTCGGCCGCCGGATTGAGACATCAAGACGTAGCCCTCCTTTGTTTTCACCGGATTGTATTGATGCTCCATTAACGGCAGTTAGTGGTGGTTATCTTGATTTATGTATGTCCTAGTTTGGACCTGTATTGCAGCCTTGGGCTTGTTTTTTCTTATGGGCCAAGCCCAACTTTTGTACAGTTTTTTACTTAATGAAAATTGCTTTAATTTATGAAAAAAAAAAAAAAAAACTTTATCATTGCACCTATAATATAGCTCCTAACACCCATGAGTCTGCTCATCATTTTTGGGCCCTATCTTTTTATGTACTACGTAATTCTTCACATGTCTCTCAAGAAGAATGGGTCTCTTCAAAATCAGAGTCCACATCATATCATATCACAAGTTACAATTTGGTTCAGTTTTAGGGCCGGTTTAGTAACAACTATCAATTCATAAAATTGAGAATTAAAATTAAAAATTATGTTTAATAAAATATTTTTACTTTTTAATTTTAAGAAAGTATTTTCTAATTTTGTGAAGAGAAGAGAAGGTAAGAAATCCTTACTTTCTCCATTTTATACACTGTTGACTGAAATTACTTTCTTTACTGTTGCATCATTTATCACAAAAAAAAAAAAAAACTCGTCGCAGACCATCAATTTTCACCCCTCCTCCTATCTCTCTCTACCCCATCAGTCACCCACCCTTCTTTTCTCTCTGTTTAAAATCAACATAAAGACTTGTTCTTCATTGGTTTAATTTATGAAGATGGTGATTTCAGGCTCCGATGACCACGATTATACAGATTCTAGCGACGAAGGATTCACAATTCTGGTGACAACAACCAACAATTTCGAGGACGGAGATGTTGTGACTATGTAATTCCGGTGGTGGGTTTGGTTTTTGTTCCTTGGATTAGGACTTGGGTAGTGGCGGCTAGGGTGTTGATGGTTTGAGTTTTGTAGTAGGCGGAGATGGGTGGTGGTGATGGAGGTTTTGGGTAGAGGTGGTAGTGTTTGCACTTGGCGGTCGGCGACGGTAGCTCTCTGCTACTGATTTTTTATTTTTTATTTTTTTTATTATTATTTTTTAAGGGTTGCAGTGTTTTTGTGATTTGTTTGGTACAAATTGGTTTAAGTGTTGGTAATGGAGGTTTTGGGTGGTGGTGGGCAGGGGCCATATTGATAGTGAATTTGAGTTCAATTCTGGTGACTCACAGAAATGAGAGAGAAGGATTAAAGAAATTTTGTACATACAAAATCAAAATTATAATTAATGAACTTGGTTTTTAATTTCTTGCTTTGAAAATATTGAAAGCATGAAAAGTTGATGAAGATAATTCTATTTCATATTTTAACTTTAAGAATGAAAATTATGATTTTAAGTTTAAAGAAAGTAAAAGTAAAAAAGTGAAAGCTTAACCGGAGTCCACTATTCAGATTCACTTTGCAGAATCTTTAGAATTCTATAAAATTGGATCAATCCAAATTGAACCGGAATATATATATATTTGTCATATTCATATAACACTAAAATCACCACAGAGGTGAATCTGAATTTCAATATAATAAACTAAAACTCAAATTTAGCTCCAATGATTGTACATTTGTCCATAATTCGAATTACAAAAATGGTTTTTGAAATCGAATCAACATTGGATTAAAAGTAGATATTTTTTTGACTAAATTCCACATAAAATCGACCCTGTCTAACGTTACGACAAAAGGGCCACCATCAAAAAGATGGTACGAGAGACTTCTCGCTCCTCAATTCATTCATTTTAACTTTTTTCTCATAATGATTCGCATTTTCCTTCAGGAAAATGATTTTTCTTCCAGACCAAACAACCATTATCAGACAGTCCTTGTCAGGAAAATGATTTTTCTTCCAAACCAAACAACCATTATCAGACGGTCCTTGTTGGGTCGGTGAAAGTATTAAAGGCTAATAAGCTGTTCTCCTTTTACCACCCAAAAAAAATGTTCAACGTCAGTCTCAATCTCACCGTTGATTCTTGACAAGACTCTAAATCAACGGTTCTGATCAACTAAACTATTTAATCACGTGTTATGATCTTGTGGTGCAAAATCATCCACACCAAGCGATCATTGTCAGCTCAATGATGATCGTGACGGTCCATCTGCTGGACGGTTTACGTGTATTAGTTATAGACTTATTGTGGGACCCGTAGAGCCGACCCCATCTAACCTTCACGGTCTCCACCAGCACATAAAAAAAAAAAAAAAAAAAAAAAAAACTTTAAATAGTTGAAAAACAATTTTAAACGAATTCATAAACATATATTACATATAATTAATTCGTTTAGAATTGGTCGGTTAACTTACTCCAAAAACTGTGCCGCCGCTGATCTCATGAGGTTCAAACGTTGAAAAAGTAATGGACCCACAATGTAGCTTTGGTCGGCCAATCATCTTTGGATCCCCAATTCCGCACGCCTAAACTATATCACCACCACACACGTGGCACTACAAGGACAACCAAATGGGTCCTCCAATAGCAGTAAATTACACCGACAAGTGGCTTAAATCAATTGCGTTTTGCAGAATGTTTTTACCTGCAACCGATTACACCGGTTCCTTAGCCGTCAATTTCGGTATATATACATCCCACTAAGCAACTGAGCTATATCAACCAAGAGTTAAAAGGTTTTTGCAAGCTCTGTAGCTAAAGCTAAGAAGAAGTGAAGGCGAAAAAAAAAATATTTTAAATTACAAAATGCCAATTTACAGAATTGCCATCGGGACGCCGGGAGAAGCGAGCCAACCGGATGCACTCAGAGCTGCGGCAGCAGAGTTCTTCTCTATGCTCATCTTTGTTTTCGCCGGTGAAGGCTCCGGCATGGCTTTTAGTAAGTTTAATTTCCAATTAACTCAAATCAATACCCCGTTTTAGTTTTAGTTGATCAATTTTGAGCAACCCATTTCACTTATCAAAAAAAAAAATTTTGAGCAACCCATTTCTTATAGGAGGCACTAGTCATACTAGGCTAAGTCACACGAGCTTTAATGTGTTGAGAATAGTCTCTAAATTATAAAAGAAATAGTCAATGTCATTTAGTCTAAATTTTGGGACTAAGCTTATCCCCATCCCCATTGAGGTATATATATATATATATATATATATATATATAGTACAAGAAATATTATATGCGCAGATTTTCTTAGAAAAATTATTGAATAGTCCGGTATATGGTACCCGGGCATCCCAACCCTCGAATGTGATGGGGCCACCACCACATCCATAACTCAATGGCCCTTACTGCCCTGGCTACCATACTCCCGGTTTTTCAATAATTTCTCATTTTCTCATTGAATTAGGTGTATTTTTTTTAACTGAGAGTACCATTTTTCTATTTTCTTATACTAATTAATGGAACGTTTTGGCAGACAAGCTTACGGATAATGGCTCGTCGACACCATCTGGCCTTGTAGCTGCAGCATTAGCTCATGCATTTGCACTATTTGTGGCGGTTTCTGTTGGTGCAAACATTTCCGGGGGTCACGTCAACCCTGCTGTGACATTCGGTGCCTTTCTCGGTGGAAACATCACATTCTTAAGGGGCATTTTGTATTGGATTGCACAATTGCTAGGATCAGTTGTTGCTTGCTTGCTTCTTAAATTCGCCACCGGTGGACTGGTAAAGAATCTAATTAACAAATTCTAAGTCATGACATTTGGTTATGCAACAATTTTACACGGCTTATACAATAAATTTTTTATTTATTTTTAATGTATTTATTGCACTACGACGTAGTGAGGTGCACTGACAATGTACACAGAATTCACTCCAATGGAGGGATCCGTATTCATATGTATTATATCACATGACATCATACTTTACCAATTACAGGAAACCTCGGCATTCGCACTATCAACCAATGTATCGGTGTGGAATGCACTCGTGTTCGAGATTGTGATGACTTTTGGGTTGGTGTACACAGTTTATGCCACTGCAGTGGATCCAAAGAAGGGGGATTTGGGCATTATTGCACCTATTGCAATTGGTTTCATTGTGGGTGCTAACATCTTGGTTGGTGGTGCCTTTGATGGGGGCTCCATGAATCCGGCGGTCTCGTTTGGACCCGCGGTGGTTAGCTGGACATGGACCCACCACTGGGTCTACTGGGCAGGCCCGCTCATCGGTGCCGCCATCGCCGCCATTGTCTATGATAATATCTTCATTGGTGACAACACACATGAGCAACTTCCCACCAGAGACTATTAGAAAAAAACTTCTCTTGTTTTAATGCTTTGAGACCTCTTTCAGATCTTGGGGAAATAAAAATTGGGATCGTAGCAATACAATTGCTAAGACATGGATTTGTGGGTTTTTGTTGGAATTTTTGTAGTTTTGTTGAGTAGGTGTTTGTTGTGTACTTGATTTTTTTATTTGCTAGGAGTGGGTAAAAGTTTTATTGGCTGTCTAGCCTGTCTTGTATTAATGAAAATGTCTTGTTTGTTTCGCTGTCATTTAATGTTTATTTATATTCAAACATGTACTCCACATCTTAGAATGTGAAAAAAGAATTGACAATTTGTCACACAAAACATTATACATGATTCAATGCAAAATTAGATGCTCGGATTTTGTTAGGATCGTGTTTATCTTTTACCAATGTGAAAATTAGAGACATACCTAACATTTGACACATTCTTTCACAAAAGTGACAGCTCGATCACTTAGAATTCGCGTCTCCGTGCCTTAAAAAGAGGTAACTTTTGTATTCATTAGTTTGCACCATATATATATTTTTAAAGCAGATATTATTATTATTATTATTATTATTATTATTATATTCTCTCAATTTTGAAATATGGACTACTGTTTGAATTTACTCTGTTATTTATTTCCTCCTCTTTGTTTGGGGGTTCTGAGAAGTTTTTGTTATGCTTGTGTGATTGTTCACTATGTGTTTGATATTTTGTTCTCTTGAAATCTTCAGTTCCTTCCATTAGCCTACACTACCACTTGAACAGATAAAATTATTAATGCAATAATTTCAAGAAATCCAAGAACAATACTTGTATACTAAAAATCTATGATCATCTTTTGTTGAACATACCTTATAAAGTGCTTCGGAAATTCTTGTATACCGATAAAGAACTCCAAATAGAACAGGTTAAAGCTGCAAAGAGGGTACAGACTTGCTATGTAGATAGATGTCTTAATGGATGAACTCAGTGACATGGTTGAGGAAGCTAGCAACTGCACTAGCAAGAACTTCTGTAGTTTCATGTTGCAGTAAAACATGCCCTTTCATTTCAAAACTACACACGAGACTCCATGAGCATCATGTAGTGCAAACCAGTAATAGTTTTTTCAGACATTATAATTAGAAGCTTTTACAAGTTTTTTAGGTTTAACTAGAATTGAAGTAGTTAGAAGCATACCCTGCAGTCAAGATTCTGTCAATACACTATTTCCGTCTACAAACTCATGTGAGGATGTCTTAAAGGCTCGGTGTGGTCTTCAACATCTTTCACAAACTTATAGAAATACTTTCTTTTCTGTGTTTGGGATGCTGCCTCTCTCAGATTTCCCTTACCTAGTTGTTGTGGGATTCTCAACAATCTTCGTAAAAGTTTCCGATGTGATGCTACTATGATTTGAGGCCTCACATTAAATTCCGCAAGAAAATTCTCTGCTAAGAAAATCACATCCTCTTCATCCCTCAATCCTTCCAATTTAACAACTTTTAGATGATTCAGTTGCACATTTCTCGTGATTAGCTTTGAGTCCCAAGTGGCGTGTTGCATCCAAAAGCTTGCAGGGTGATCAATCTGCAAAATTCATTAGCAGGGTGTTATACTTGAGCCCAGTAAAGTATTTAGAGCATTTGTTAAGTGCTTTTGTAGGTTTTGCTTTGATTGCTACATAAACACTTGTTCCAATAAGACCCTAAACGTTTGTTCAATAATTTGTTCTCGAGTTCATTCATAGAGAAAGCTGTTTACAAAAATTCCAACGAAAATAAACTGATGAAATTGTAAGTACCTTAAGAACCGAGACTAGTTCCTGTTTTCAGTGAAAGAAACTTACAGTTATGAAGAGTCTTTCTAAGGAAGGACACATCTTCAGGAAGGAGAACAAGGCAAAAATATTATCGTAGTTATTCATTGAATTATCAATCCACCATAGATCCTTTAATCTTTTAAAACGCACCTTGCGTGACCATGCCATCCCAAATTCCTGCAACAAGAAGTTCATGCAAAAACCATTGTGATCTAAGAGATGTGCAACAGAACATTATAGATATTCAAAACCTACCTCGAATGTCCATCTACATAGTGTAAGCCTTTCAACATTTATCATCCTTTGAAGGAGTGAGTCAAAATATTGGCCGTTAAACTGTTTGTATGGACATTTTCTGAAATCAAACATGGCATCTTCCAGTGAAAAATAGCCTTCCAGATAAAACCGGGGAAGTCCCCCACTAATCTGAAGATATTGAAGTTTGCAAGCTTTAATGTACAGACACTGCAGCTTGAGACAGTCCAAAACAATCAAATACTGAAGCCCCGGAATATCTTCAATGCATAGAGATTGCAATCTTCTGTGTGCTTCGATCCTTAAAGATTGCAATCCGTTGCATTTTCTCAGAGTTAAGTTCTCAAGAAAAAATAATCTTGAAATTATGGAAGAAACTGTGTCACCGATGAGATAGTTCACTGATGTTAATTTAAGAGTTTTGACAAGAGTAAAAGAGGGATGTTTATTGCAGAAAAGGTTCCATCTACTCTGCCCCAACTGCCAACGAAACTGCCTTGGCAGTTCTTGTTTTCCTTCAGAAAAATCAAGATGAAGTTTTCTATTTAACCCAATGGAAGCTAAGAGGATCTGATCGAGGCCAAAGTGAAACTGAAGCCTTCGAGGGTTCTTTAAAGGATCAAGCTCATCAAACCGATTGAGAAAGTCAGCAAGTGCAGATTTGATGTCAACTTCAGCTCCATGTTGCACTAAAGTCCACAAGTCATTCAATCGTGTGGAAAGAGCACCGATTTTTATCATTTTTACCGCAGAATCAAAAGGAATCAAGGTAAGGATACGGAAAAGGATCTCATTGGGTAATTTGCTAATCAGATCATCGGCAACATTTTCCACAACAGAGAACCTGTTCAAAAATTCAACGATTTTCATGCACTACATCATAATAGGTGTTGATTATCAGGGATAGAGAGCCAAAGATGCAATATGAGAGAGATTCAAAATTGATGCATATTGAATTATATTATGATAATAATACAAAGCAGGTATAAATAGGCTAACATCAAACGGTTAGTAAATCACTATTACAACGGCTATAATATAATGTAATTATGGTAGCATATAATATAATCTAATTATGTTAACATCCCCCTCAAACTCAAGTTGGTAGAGCAAAACCAACTTGAGTTTGGAGAGAAAAATCTGGAGTGGAAGGCGATACCGGAGTTGTGAAGATTCAATACATTGAGGTGTTTAAAAGCACACGATAGACCACTTATGGCACGTGTGGTAGCCTTGAAAGAGCTCTTGAAAGCAAATACTAGCGTGGAATAATAGAGTGGAATTTACCCATTGAGAGACACGAATGTGTATGATAACCACTTGAGATGAGCTCTTGAAAGCTGATAATTGAGTGGAATTATAGAGTGGAATTTACCACTTGAGAGACTCACGAATGCGTCGATTACCAGGGACGCTTGGAAGCGTCGATTTATCAAGGGCGCTCGGAAACATTGATTACCAAGGGCGCTTGTGGAAACGTCGATTACAGGGGCGCTTGAAAGCGTCATTTACACGGGCGCTTGGAAGCGCATCAGAGAGAGCCAAATCAATACCGAGAAATTAGGCGGGTTGTATTCCAGAAACTGGAACGGGTCAGAATACACCCCCTCAAGTTCTAGAGGGATATCAGGAGCACTTAGAACTTGAATCTGAAATTGGGTCAAAACCAGAAATGAACAGGGCCAAAAATTGATCTGGGCCAAATACTGAACTGGGCCGGATACTGAAAAAATGTGTTTGGAACCGTCCAAACAAGTAAACAAGTAGCCTGCACTTTCCATAAATCAGCACGCTTTATCTCTCTCCCCAACAAACAGAATAAACTGCTGACAAAAATCAAACATTCTGCAGACCCAATACAGAGAAATACAGAGAGCGCCGTAGTTGAGGACTGAACCAGATAGAGACGAACAAGTCGCCGGCAATGGTGCGTGACTGGTCCGACAACAGCAAGGCAGAGGGTGCGCATAGATCTGGCAGAGAGAACAGTGATGGCTTCAGCGGCAGAGGAGATCAGTGATTGTAGATAAATAAGGGTTGAAGAGCCGGCGAACAGAGAGCACGGCGAGATGAGCACGGCGATGGCAAATGACGGCAGATCCGTGGCGGTAGATAGCAGTTGTGACGGCGGCAGAGCTCCGTGGCGGCACCGGCGATGACGGCTATGGTGGTGAAGAGATGGGGACGAGCTGTCTTCAAAAGTCGATGTCGACTTGAGACCGATGCCGACGACGAAGGATGGCGGGACGATAACGGGACCAGATCGATGTGAGGTCTCGACGTCGAAGGACGGCGGGACAGCGAGACGACGTCGACTGCAGATCGATGTCGATGACGGCAGGACAGCGGGACGACGTCCACTGCAGAGGTGGGGACGAGATGGTCTGCGGCGGCTCAGATGGAGCCGGTCGGTGATGAGTTCGGCAGTAATGGAGAAGATATGCCGCCGAGGATGGCTGGTGTTTCTCCGGTGGCAGAGGTTCAGATCGAGCGGTGGTATATATATATATATATATATATATATATAATGTGGCGGGGCAGTGGTAATGACGGCAGAGATCGGAAAAGGTTGAGGAGGATCTTGGATCTGTGAGCAGGGTGGTTGGTGTGTTGGGTATCGACCGAGGTGAGGTGGAAGACGCCGGTGGTGTTGTCGATGCAGAGAGCAGTGCCTGAGAGGCAGAGGTGGGTGAGACGAGTTAGGAATTGGATTGACCCGGTGAGATTGAGCTGGTTGAGGACGACGGTGGATGGCTCCGGCAGAATCTCGGCGCTGATGGCGGTGAATCAGCGACCAGCGAAGTCACGAATCCGGTGAGAATGGATCGAAACACAGATCTCGGATGGAGCGATGGCAACGGCTGGCTGATGGCTCGGCGGCGAGCTGAGGATGAGCGGCGGTGCTTGGCATGCTGCCGGTGAGCGGTGGCTGTGATGGCAGCAGTGATGTGGGTTTTGAATGGAACCTGAAAGATGAAAGATGTGGGTTTTGAATTTTTGATTCTTGTAGACTTTGCAGTTGCAGAGAGAGAGAGAAGAAGGTCGGAGTTGAGAACAGAGGAGGAGACGATGACTCAGAGGTTGGTTTAATTGAGGACCTTGGACTGCCGCCGGAGATGAGGCTTATGCCAACCTCTCCGGCGGTGGCTCTGATACCGTGTTGATTATCAGGATAGAGAGACAAAGATGCAATATGAGAGAGGTTTAGAATTGACGTATATTGAATTATATTACGATAATGATACAATGCAAGTATAAATAGACTAACATCAACTTAAATCACTATTACTATGGTAACATATAATATAATCTAATTATCTTAAGAATAAGACTGTCCAAAGAATAAAATTAGAAAAGAAAAAGAATCATTTCTTACTTTTGAGCATTCAAGTTGTCCGGAATTAACAGGTTGTTTCTTCTTTTGTTAAGGCTTGGATCCTGCTGATGCCTTCGATTCTTCTTTTTCTTTTGGTGCTTCTTGCCCATGTTGGATCAAATTTTGTCAGTATGGTGGTTGATTGACTAGGAGGTGTTTTAAGGGTACTTCTTCATTATGCCATACATAAATATGTCATTTTTTGAGATAAATACAAAGATATAGACAAACCAAGAAAATACGAGGAAGGAGCTGCCAAACTTAGGAGACAAGGAATTCAATCTGGCCTTTTGGATATAAACTATGTTCTATGTAGCATAGAAAATTAAGGAAAATGATTAGTGATGGGGTAAACTTGACTGCTTTAGTTAAGATGATTAATGAACTTCACTAGCGTGCGAATAACTAATGAAATCTTCTCCGGTAGGGCAGAAGTATTTTTCATTGTGCAGTTATACTTGGTAATATTCCCAAATCATGAAAATATATATATATATATATAAACAGTTTTAAAGTATTCTTCTAGAAATTTTGACTTTTAGAAATTATATCCCATTGTCCTTTCTATCTATGGAAAGCATTGTTTGTTTGTTTGTTTGTTTGTTTGTTTTTTTTTTTTTTTTTTAACAGTGTGTGACTGGTTATCCTATCATGGCTATGGCATGACAGCTATATACAGTGGTGGAATCAAGGTTTAGTTCTTAGCGAATAAAAAATTGTATTGTATGACCTTTGATTTTTAAATTGAATTATGAAAGTTGAAAGAACATGAGAGAAAGGTGGAATGAAACAGCAGTGGTGCCTTATTCCTGGCACCCAAAGGCTTGTGGCACAGAACTTCTTAGTTGACAGTAGTGATGGTGTAGCTGTGCTTATATTTTTGGGAAAAAGACACCAAAAAATAGAAGGCAATAAATAATAATTCTCAATTTTTGTGATTGCAATGTTTAATAAGTTCAGGGAAGTTCTTTCTGTAAATGCACTTAAAGGTCAATAACATAATAATCACAAAATTGCGCGAAACAAGAGTAGAATTGGCCACCGATCTTCTGAAAAGAAAATCAGGGATATTAATACATATCCTTACCTGTGTATGCATGTGCCTGTGCTTGTGTGGAATGTCACAATGTTTTCGACTGCTTAAACTGGTTATGACTTGAATTCCATGGAGGTAATGATAGTCTCATAGTTCATTAAAACCTCATGCAAGATTACTGACAATGAGTAAGAAGAAGGTTCTCATACAATTTTCATTCCAAGGATTATATTGTGTTTATAATCGTATCTATATATTCAAGTGTTTTCAACTATGTAATGTTTTCAATTTTTGTCATTTTTCACTTTTTAGAAATTTCTATTTTGCAAGGGCATTTTCGTCTTTTATCGTTTTACGTGCCGAACACTGTGGGGTGTGCCGGTTGTGTCTGAGTGTTGGTTGGGACATTTCATTGAGTTCATGATTCTTTGAAATACAAGGGTGACCATTTTGGCATTTTTTTTTGTTTTTCAGGTCGGACGGTCCCGTCTGGCCCCCCCCCCCGGGCGGGGGCTGTGCACTTCTCTCTCTCTCTCTTTCTTGTTCTTTTTCTTTTTTCTTTTCTTCTAAATTTCAATCTTATATTTCTCCCTCAATTTTTGGAAATTTTTGATACCGTTTGCGATAAATTAAAGAGCACGTTGAAATCTATAATTTGATCGGAGCAAAAGTGGTTTTGGTGCACCCTAGAAATTTCTAATTCTAGGGCTTGGATTGAGTAAATTGGGGGGTTTTTGCATCTAAGTGAGGTAGGGGTTCCTAATTCCCAATTTCTTGTTCCTTTGTGAATTTTATTTCAAAATTTGATGTCAAGCATGCTTAATTTGAGTTGATTGCCTTTAAAATGATGTAATTGTTGTATTTGAAGTTTATGATTATGTGTATTGATGGAATTATGTGATAAGCATGCTAAATGTTAATTGTCTATGGTGTTTATTAATTTCCTAGAAATTGTTATGAAGAAGCATGTTAAATTGTGTAGTGTAAAGTTCCTTTATTTACATATTATTGGAAAAGTATGTAATATGTATTCATGGCATTGGGCATGAAAGAAAAGGGTAAAGTGATTTGAAGTAAATGAAAAAGGGGTTTTTGGGAAAAATATTTGAGAAAAGGATTTTGTGAAAACCCGGACGCCAAGGGGGTACCGAGGGTCCGTGGAGTTAATGTAACCTAGAGGGAATTAGGGAGATCACCCTAGCGTGGTTGAGCTATCTAGGCCCCAAATGACGCCGCGGGGTTCCCAAGGGTCAGAGACAGTAGCCAATCCTTCTCTCGTGTCACCAAGGGGGTACCGAGGGACGGGTTACGTTAAAGGTTTGAAAAGTGAAGAATTGAAGTGAATTGGAAATGGGGAGTGACATACATGACATTGCATATCATGGTACGTCATTGTTTATTTTGAATTTGGAATTGATGTTGTATTTTCCCCCGGTTTAACATGATCTCGTTCCCTATTGTTCTATTCATTGTTTAAATTCACGGGGTCACAAGAAGTGTGTCTTAGGCACCACCTACTGAGCAACTTGCTCATCCCATTCATTTAACATTTTTTTAGGATTCGGGAAGGAAGTAGTTGACGCAGACCCTTCACAAGCTTAAGGAGGACTAGGAATCTATTTATGCCATCTTTTGTATATTTACCACACTTTTGTAACGCCTTAAAACCATAGTGAAGTGTATTCATTTTGCTAGCCATGGTCATGTATTATAAACTATAACTTTTGTTGGTATTTTAAAGGGAAGTGAGACTATGTAAATATTTTATGATGAATGGGAAAGGAAGCTATATTTTGATCTTTTATTGATGCTTTCCAATTGTATGAGGTCATGCTTTATTGTCGTAAATTCGGAATTTAACTGCATAACAGGTCTAGCATAGATTTAGCTGGAAATGAGCATAGTGAGGAATCATTCCAGAGAGTTGAGTCATAGGAAGCCTTGCTTCGGCCAGTTGATCCTCACCATCAGCCGACCGAGGCCCAAGGTTCAGCCGACCGAACCTCCTTCATCAGCCAACTGACAGGCCAATTTTAGAAAGTCCCGAGAGCATGCTAATTTCACAATCGTTTCAGCCGGCTGACCATGTAGGTCAACCGACCGATTTAGCCTTGTTAGCCGGCCGAACAAGGGTTTTTAGGCAGCTGATTTATCTTCTTTGACTTGCACATTTGACCATCTTTGTAAAATAGTGCCCTTGGGGTATTTTTGACCTACGACTGACTCATGTGTCATGTATTGATGTAGGAAATGATAGTGTCATCCTTAGTTGACCTCGGGTTCTGGTAAGGACCTGGTTAACGGTTCGAACCTACGGGTTCGGGTCATTACATATTTGGTATCAGAGCAATGGTTCGAATACCATTAGGACGACGGGTAGATTCCTACTTGGGATTGCGTGGGGAAGTTGAATTGCATGATTATGTGCTATATGTTAAAGTGTTTAAATGTTTGAGAAGCATGCTTACTTGTTTACTTGCTTACCTGTTTATTTACCTGCGTGATCACATGCTTATATGTTTATAGTTTTGAGGGCATGCCTAATTGCTAAGTGCTTACGTGTTTAAACGCTAAAATTTGTGTTATATGGCCATGCATGTGAAATAGTTATATGATCCGACTATGAAAATGAAATGGGAATGTATTGGAAAGTATGTTATACGTGATAAGATGGCAAGCTGTGAGCATGGATTGTGTAAGTGTGTAGTATATGAAATGATGATGAGGATGGAAGGGATATTTAATTTCACTTAATAATTTAATGGACTCATTGTTTAAACTTATGTGATAAGACATGGTTGTGTCAAGGTTTATGCTTCGGTTATTCTGTATATATATATATATAAGTATGTTTTGTGTACATACCTGTATTCTTATATATATATGTGGTCAAGCATAGAATGGTAGTGTGAGTTTTGACCTGAGTAGGCGAGGAGCTCGATTGCTTCAGGGTTGTGGGTGCCAGTTTTTATCGAACGAATGACTTGGGCGTCTAGCTCGTGGATTGAGCTATTTAGCGTGTAGTCATCCTGATCTTCTTAATTGCATTTTGTGCGGTGCTTAGAGCAGGACTTTAGAACGGGTTCATATTTCGTGGCAAGGTGACCTTGTTATGTGTGAGTTTCATATATTGGTGTACGAGTTCTAGTGACCGTGGAGGTCAAGTGTACGAGTGAGGGTTTCGGTATGACCTTAGGAGGTCAGTGTTTGTGACTTAGGTCATGGTTTGATATGGAGGTTCTTTTCGAATGGGTCGTAGTAGGTGTGATGGGGATTGTTTGAGTCACGAATGTAGTCTATGGATTGCAAATGTGTATTTTGAGCATTTTGGAACAGCTTAAGGAAGTGTGTTAGTTATGGTTGGTCGAGGGGTGATTCTCATTCCAGGAAACTGCAGGAGTGTGCCGCGGGTAATTGACTCTCGGTGAGTCGATTGCATGGCTCGGTCGATGAACGGAGTTCTAGGTTGGTATGGCTGTCTAGGGAGTCTTGAGGTAGTGTATAGTGGTTGGTTTTAGTTGTGTAGAGCAGGATTGCACTATAAGGCAGGTTCTATGAGGTTATTGAAGTGCTCGGTCGTTTACGGATGGAGTGATTGATGGTAAGTACTGTGTTACCAAATGGACTAGGTATTGGAAATTGAAAGTTGTGGACTGGAGTTGGATTTTATGTTGTGTTTGAGGTATCAGGAGAGTGTGCTTGGTGTTTGAGGACCCGAAAAGGTAGACTGATGATGAGAACGATTGGGACGAGGTTGATTTTGTGGGTTTAGTTGTTAGCCCCATTTGACTTTTGTTGGGGCCAAGGGTGTTT